ACACACACACACACACACACACACACACACACAGTAGAGACAAAACGAGGTGCTGATCAAGTCTTCCAGTCTTCCGTTTATTGAGGAAAAATGGTGAGTTATATACAGGCTAGTGGGCATTGATTGGTTGCCTGAAATGCAAATGAGATAGAACAGCATGAACCAATCATTGGTGTGGGTGGATCTCTCCCGTTGCCTAGAAACCCAACTGCTTCCAGGGAGAATGGTTGGTCACATGATTTCTGAGAAATGGTTTGCTCAGTGAGGAAGTGAAACTTAATGTGTTCCAAGATGGCGGATAGCTCAAGATGGCAGATAGCTCAAGATGGCTTCCGTATGCAGTGCCCTCCACATGTCCCCCTTTTATATTTTATTACAGAGAGGAGAAAAGGCCTGGGGGAATCGTGCCTGTCTTAGGTTGGAGTCGTTTTTAGAGCCACATGTCCATCCTTACCCGTCATTGGAGAATCCCATTGCAATGATGGGTTTCCTGTCTTAGGTGTGAGGACTGTACTGCTGTTAGGCTCAGACTCTTTTACCCGTCTTTGGCTAACCGATTCAGCGCCTCAGGCAGGAGCAATGTCTAGGCTCCGCGATACTCCTTCTCCAGGTTGTGGTAGTGGACTTGGATAGGCTGCACTTTTATGGAATCATCAATTTGGCATTTAAGTTAAGCCATGAGTTTATTGAAAAGGACAGGCCCCAAAGAGCAAACAATCAGCAAACACAGAATCGGACCAAGTATGGGGAGGAAAAATGGGAGGGGACCGTCTCAGGCAGACCATAAGGGACTGTCACGAATGATGCCAGACTTCTTGGAGTAAAAGCAGCAGCATTCCTGTAAAGCAAGACAGAGATCCCCCTGTTCTGCCAGGAGGAGCGGCGCCACGTGTCCCAACCCACAAGACTGTTGAACAGGTTTCCTGGGGGAGGGAGTGAGAAAAGGGACAAACACACACACACACACACACACACACACACACAGAGTGGAGACAAAACAAGGTGCTGATCAAGTCTTCCAGTCTTCCATTTATTGAGGAAAAATGGCAAGTTATATACAGGCTGGTGGGCATTGATTGGTTGCCCGAAATGGAAATGAGATAGAACAGCATGAACCAATCATTGGTATGGGTGGATCTCTCCCATTGCCTAGAAACCCAACTGCTTCCAGGGAGAACGGTTGGTCACATGATTTCTGAGAAATGGTTTGTTCAGTGAGGAAGTGAAACCTAATGGTTTCCAAGATGGTGGATAGCTCAAGATGGCAGATAGCTCAAGATGGCGGATAGCTCAAGATAGCTTCCGTATGCAGTGCCCTCCACAGTTCTCTACTATATACCATTATCAACGCTGTCTTGTCTCGACCATCACGAACGTCAAGTTCACATTTTCTCTCTGCTAAGAGAGTCACCACTTCTTCATGGCCATTGGCACAGGCCAGATGCAGAGCAGTCCTAGAAAGTAAGAACACGTCTTAGGAGATTGTGGTGTACTACTTCAAACATATCATTATGCATGAAATCGTGAGCATTAAATAGCATGTTATCCCTGTGCCTTCAAAACAAGTGTTTGACTTCATCTGAAGAAAGTAAAGAATTTACTCGGTCTCATCACTGACAACATTAATGAAATTTCAACCTATCTGAATAGGAAAACATGCCCTTTGGTTTCAGCTCAACCTGGGTTTGAATTTTATCTAGATGTCCATCTATCCATTCATTCTTTCATTTTTTCTATGAGTGTAAAAGACAGAGAGAGAGAGTAAGAGAGAGTATTTTCTTGGGGGAAGCAAGTGGCATGGTGGTTAAGGCACTGGACTCCCACATGAACGACTGTGGTTCAAGTCCCACCTATGGCAGCTTAAAACTCATGCCAGGCACATGTGTGTATATAATTTGCAAATATGTTGTCTTTTATTTTTTTACTTTTCTGATACACAGGAGGTTTTCATTTTGCTCTACTTCTGTGCATCAATTGTCTCATCAACGAATGATATAAATATAGCAGTTATCTCACAGGACAGCATTATGATGCTTAAATGACAATGTCTGCATTTGAATTTTTATTTTGTTAAAATTAACCTACAGAGTGCTTGCTTTGAGGTCATTCTTTAAAATGTATCTGTCAACATGAAAATCTATAAATTGGCATTTTTGTTTTTGTCTCATACTACTCTTATTATCATATATTTAAAATCTCAAATGTATAGTCCACCAAGCACTTAGTTTTAAAACCTAAAACACTAGCCAGTTTTCTCCAAACACTTAGCAGGCACTTCACTTATGAATAATTCATCTCTTTTTAAATGCCACAAAGTGTCACAAGTATGAAGTACTAAATTCCTACATATATTTCATTGTTTATGGCGTTGCCATTATGTTCCCTTTAATTTATGTCTTTTCAGGTGTTAGTGAATGATAATTTTTGAGAATTAACAGCACATTTTTAAAAAAGAATTATTTTACTGAACTTAATTTATCTATTTGTTTTCATTAGACCAGAGAGGAACAGAGTGGGGGCAGGGGCAAGTGAGAAACAAAGTTGTAAGGTCCAGGACTCAAACTGCACTTGGCCGCGTGGGAGTCCAGTGCCCTTAACCACCACACCAGCTGCCAGCCCCAGCAGCACATTTGACATGTAGAAAGGCAAGTCTTTATTACATTATAAAACTTCCTTAACATCATCACAAAAGTGGCACCTCAAAAGTTAAAGATCTCAACATTTTGCTTTGGTCTGTCTAAAAACCAATAAACATTAAAAGGTTCATATTTAGCAAAAAAAATGAGTCTTTCAATTTAAGAATCATTTTCCCACTTCAAAATCTTTAAGGACACTCAGCAAGAACTACACGTGTATAGGGACATAAAGCGGATATTGGATATCTTATGTGAAGGATTTTGAGCCTAGAAGCTAACATATTATAGTTATTATTTTCTCATTACCCATTTTTCCAAGATGTTTGTAACATTGTTGTTTTTGAAATGTGTACATGACCAATCAAATGGGTAGCAGCCAACCAGTGGCAGAGGTTAGGGCAGCCAGATCCCACATGGTCAACTGGGTAGTTTGCATCTCCACCCAGTAGCTTGAAAAATACACTGTGTGTGTGTGTGTGTGTGTGTGTGTGTGTGTGCCCAATGTGCCCAAAATCTCAAGAAGAGGATGGAGGAGAGAAGACTGCAGGTGGCCATTTCTGCTGGGGGGTGATTTCTCCTCTAGGGCTGATTTCCCTCTTTTTCTCTCTTGTTTCTTTCATGGAATGCACTCACCCCACAGCAAAAACTACAACTGAAACTAAATAAAAACAAGATGTTCATGTATTTCATTGCATTAGTTAAGTCACTCTGTAACTGTGAAGGAAGTGTTTAGTAGGGCTTATTCTGAGTGAATCTGAAACCAGCAGAAACTCGGTTTTGGTCTGCTGCTCATCAAAGGGACTAAGCTCCAGGCCCCAAGGTTCCTGTCCCAGGTGAAGCTGAGGGGCATCCCCGGTGCCAGCCCAGCCCAATTACCTTTTCTTCTTGTCTAGGCAATTCAAAGCATCTTCTTTTTGGCTTAGGATCTGCTGTACTTGGGCCACGTCACCTGCCAGGGCAGCCTTGTGGATCTTGTGGAGATGCCAGTCTTGGACTTTGTACTCAGACAGTGGATGGATGCACTGTGTGACCTCAAGTGAAGCTCCCAAGCCCCAGCCCTGTTTGCCCCCTAAGCCAAAATCTGTGCCCTAGAAGCTCAGTGATTGGCTGGGAGCCCTGGCGCATTCTCTCATGTCAGTGGCAGTTGGTGGAGTGTTCTGCACCTTTAAGAAAGACTGCTATGGGTGGGCCAGTAGATGGTGTAAGGAAACAGAGAAGGGAGTGCAGTGCAGTCATCCCTCCTGGGGGGTGATTTCTCACTTTCTGTCTCTCTGTCTCGCTCTGTCACTCTGGCGAGGAAATGTGCAGAAGTGCCCTATAGCAAATATCTCTCCCCAAAAAAGGAAACAATGCTATAAGAAAGCAGTCTTTTTGATATGTTTTAAATTTTTTAAATTTGATTTATTTTGTATAATCCCATATGGATCAGAGAGAGGAACAGAGAACTTGCCCCCAATAAAGCATGGTCATGTTGTAAACCCTTCAACATTTCTCCATCCTATGGGAGTTTAGGGCACATAGGGACACATGACCTGTTGCCCAAACCAGCAGGGACAGGATTTGGTGCTGTCAGTTATATGGGATCAGGTTCCTTCACACTCAGAATCAGCAAGCCCTAAGAACTTTCTGAAGAAGCTATTCATTTGGATGACACAAGCCATCTCTAATCATTAGAATAAAATGACACGTTGGTGGCCCTTATTCTTCCAGTTCCATCTCTAGGCTCCTGGCTACCAAGGGAAACTAAGGCAGGGGGGCACCACTGCCCCCACGTGTTCTCTGTCAAATATGGAAACCGAGAAAAAAGGCTTTGTGAAATACAGAGGTGCAGAATAATTACTGGGGGGTTGGAAGGATGGGGCAGGAGAAGAGGGATGCTCATTAACAAAAACAAAATTGCAGTAGATTGAAGGAACAGGCTCTAGTGTTCCAATACACAGTGAAGAGAATATGGTTAACAACAACTAATGTGTATCAGAGAGAGGCTAAAAAAGAGGATTTTGTATTTCCCAAACAAATGCATATACTAATCACCCTGATTTAATCATTACACATCATATTGATGTACTAGACTCACACTGCAGCCCCATAAACACGTACAATTATTACATATAAGAATGTTTTTAATTTATTAAATAATTATTTAATTTTATTTATCATTATTATTACTTTTTAAGTTGATACAGGCACTCACAAGAGACAGAGAGAAAGTGAGAAAGCTAAGCCACCAGGTCTAGACTGAACTGCAGTTGGCCATTGTGGGAGTCCAATGCCCCAACCACCACACCACCTGCTGGCCCATAGAAAATTAAAAAAAAAAAAAAATCCTTATTTTGTTTATCTCCAGTTCTATTTAGGAAAAATCTGCAAGTTAGAATTGAGTGAGAGTACAAAGGAAGTGCAACTCTACACAGCTCTGATGGATTATGGAGAACCATCCCTAGCAGATAAAGCAATAATAATGAAATCTAGAGATTCCACAGTATTTATCTATGGGTGGAACCCAAAATCCACATGTGGAATGAGTCATAGGTCTCTATTCTTTGGGACCTGGGAGGGAAC